TGTTGTTATGCATAGATTAGTGGTGTTCCTAGTCAGGGACTTTGGGGTAAGTATAACGAGTGGATGATCATCGACAATTATGTATGTCATAGAGCTTAGACTTTTGGGCTTCCGGTTTTGTGTAGTACATTGATTCGGATGGTTAGTAGATCCAATTTTGGGAATTCCTGTTAAATTGTACACTATGAGTTGAGTCTTAGAGTTTGGAAAGAAATGTAGTTGATACAGTTAAGTGTATCAAGCGACAGGGTTGTTTTTTGGCATCAGATGGGTTCTGTATGGTCTCCGGAGTTCGATATGGATGATTTGATTATATGAAGTAGTTGGCGGGAGCATCTGGATTGTGTTGGGTTAGTTAAAAGTTATAACCGAGTCAGATTTTGAGGACGAAATCTAGTTTAAGTGGGGGAGAATTGCAACACCTAGTTTTGGGATGTTTCTATTATTAGGATAGTGGGCCATAAATGGATTGAGTAAAGGTGTTGGACTTCAAGTTAATAGGGTTTAGACCATATCGAATGTTGATAATGTGGGGTTAAGTGATTAAAGCATTCAAATTGTCCTTCGAAGAAAAAGGGTAAAATGGTAAACATTGTACATAGGGATTCTTGCACGGATTATAGTTTTAGTTCGACATATATTAAGCCAAAATTAATTATATATGGTTGTCGGGCTCATAAATAACTTTATGTGGATATAAAGATCATCAAAAACAGTGTTGAAACGAAGAAGTTACGATTGTTTGAAGTTGGAGTGGATTTGGGTGAAAACTCGTCGTTACAAGGTGAGGAACAGATCCTCACGACGTGACGAGTCATCATGAGGTGACAAATAAGTTGTCACGAGGTGAGCATTGGGCAGCCCAAGCCAACAAATTTTTAGGGTTTTCTATGGATTTAAAGGGTGGTTCCGTGTTTTTGGGGTATTTTCCATCCTCCATCACATCTAAGGCCTCTTAAGAGAAACCATAGCTTCACTTTCACCACTTTGAGCCTCCTGTCTCCTCTCTCATCCATTTTTGGAGTATTTTGGTGGATTTTGGTAGGAATCTATTTCAAGATGAAATTTTGGAGCCTTTAAGAAGATCTCATCTTCCATCTATCCTTTGGTCCTTGGGTATGATTCAAGTTTCCATCTTTATGCTTATAAGTTGCTAGATCTAGATTCTAAGCTTGCTTTGGTCCATTAAATGAAGATTTTATTGTTGGATGTGATAAAGTTTGCGAATTTGTCACTCCACCTTGTCACAAGAGTATTTTGGTCTATGGTTCTAATCTTTCATGATCTTTTGGTCACCAGGCTTGAAGTTAAGATATTATTATGGTCATCTTGACCTAGCATGTGTTCAAGACATGCATTGGATGAAATATTTTCCAGGTACTTATCAGATTGCGAAGGCGGGACTATACACACATCAACAGTTTTATGATTTGAGATTATGTATTGTCTTATTTATAACTCTGATTTCTGAATAACAGTTTATGAACAAGTGGTTTAACCCGAATGTAAATTTATTAATAGTGGGTGTTTATTTTATTTTAAGAATGAAAACAATATTCTGGAATTTGGGACGTTACAACATGGAGGTAATGGAGTCGGGGATCGACCACCTCCTGTAAGCTTTGGTTGCAAACAAAACGAAGAGGATGGTAAGTCTTATTATGATATATTTAGTAGCTATTTTTATTCGTTTATTATAAACTATTGTGACTAATATTTGTAATTATATTTTTTTAGCTGAGCTACCAAAAAAAAGAAGATGATTATCTAAAAACATCGAACTCACAAAGCTGATACGAGCAAACAAAGGAAGCCCGTAGATTTGGATTTCGAAAAAGAACTCACAATCATCCTTTTTACCGTATCTGGTTAGGACAATGTTTCCCCTGGTTTAAGGAATGTTACAGTCGTGCATCTGAAGGTAAATTATTTATATCATAATATTTTAAGTTTATTTGTGATTGGTATTTAATTAACTAATTTTTTGTATTTGTAGAGAAAGTTTGATTTGGATAAGGTTAACTTTGATCTCCAGCGTACTCAGTTCTTGGATAGCGTTGATGTGACTTTACAAAGAATTTACAGAGGCCGAAAAAATAAAGCACATAGATATTTTCAGAATGGCGGAGGGCTTGCAGATATCCCAAGGGAATTAGCCAACCCCCCAAAGGGTATGTCACCTGAAAATTGGACGCATGCAGTCGAACACTTTCAAACGCTCGAATTTATAAAATGTTCGGCGGCAAACAAAGGAGTCCATGCACAACAACAAACTGTAAACAGATGGGGATCGTTCTCGTATAGCAGTGCCTGTTTCAAAGTAGTAAGTTATGATATTCAACTATTTATTTAAAGTATAATTAATCTAATTTTTAATGATAAATATGACATCACTAGACTCGAAGCATTTCGTAAGGCTAATACCGATCGTCAAGGGCTATTTAGTAGTCCTACAGTCGAGCAGCAATATGTAAGTGGTTAATTTGTATTTTCATATAAGTGTTTATATATATATATATATATATATATATATATATATATATATATATATATATATATATATATATATATATATATATACACACAAAATGCTTTACTCCAAGAGATCAATCAACAAAATCAAGGTTCTTCTGAAGCAAGCGGTCTGACATCAGAGAACATAAAAAATTGTTTTGAAAGAATTTTGAGTGCTCGACACGGCCATATCAGAGGCATCGTCTGTAAACCTTCTATGGTTGTGTCAATGTACGATCATGAACAACCACTAACATAGCCACCGGCACAATCACAGGTAACAATACTATTTAATTTCAAAATCATATATATATATATATATATATATATATATATATATATATATATATTATATATATAATATATATATATATATATATATGTGGGTTAGGTTATTGTGTTCTAATTATCTATTATGTGCATGTAGGATGAGTATTAATTAAATCTTCAGCATTTAATATACATTAATTAGTTTCTTAAAATAACTAAAATGATTGGTCTACAATCAATCCTACATGCACACAATAGATAGTAGAAACATTTGAACCTAACTTATATATATATATATATATATATATATATATATATATACACACACACACACACACTGGTTGTAGTTTGATATGGGGGCTTTTGTAGTTTGGTAGTTGTTAGTTTGGTTATGTTTTGGTAATTGTTAGTTTTGTAAGAGTTTGATATCTTGGTAATTGTTAGTTTGGTAATAGTTTCAAAATTTGGTATTTCTTTTAGTTTGGTTATAGTTTGATATATTGGTACTTTGTAGTTTAGTTATAGTTTGATATGTTGGTATTTTGTAGTTTCGTAATTGTTAGTTCATGAAAGTACAATGCTATAATGGAAGAAATGAAAAAAAAACGTACAATGCTAAATTGTATTAGATGTAATATGTGTAGCATGTATGTTTAAATGTATTTGGAAAATACAATGTTATAATAGAAAAATTAAAAAAAAAGTTGGATCCTATAATCATCATGTCCTTAGTTTGTAAAGTAGAATGTTATAATGATATGTTGGTAATATATTTTGTAATTTGCTTATATTTTCCTAAGTTAATTATAATACAATGCTATAATGAAAAAAATGAAAAAAAAAAATACAATGCTATAATGTATATGCAATATGTGTAAGATGTATGTTGTTTGTACTTTGCTTATATTGCCGTAAGTTGTTGGTTAAACTTATAAGACTATGTTGTTTTCCTTGTAGTTGGACATGCTTCAAACAATATTAAAAGACCCGGCATGTAATGCCACACTTGAAGAATGGTTTCGTTCATTACCACAATGGAATGAAACCGGAATAAACAAGGAGAGCGATGATGACGAGTAGCTACTTTTAGGATTTTTGTAATGTTTTGTTTATGTTAGTTTTTTATACTAGTATTTTGGATATTTTGCATTATGTTTGGATGAGTATTTTGGCGGATGTCGTTTGGATTAATATTTTGGACGGATGTTGGATTGGATTAATATCATAGCGGTTTTTATATTTTTATACATTTTTTTCTAATTTTATTGTTAAATACAAAAAACGGAAAATACAATTACCGGCGACACCTTTAGTGACGACGTTCGTGTATTAGCGGTGACAGCCTTTAGCAGAGATGCTCGTGTATTAGTGGCGACATGCCTTTAATGGAAACAAATAACATTAACGACGACTCGGGGAATATTAACGACAAGGCATCAGTGGCGACACGTCGCTGCTAAAGACATTAACGGCGATATCCCAGAGAACCAGATATGCGTAAAAATGTAAAATTTTTTTAAAAAAAAGTTGCAAGCATCCGTCTTTAGTGAACCTAAAATATGCAAAGTGGTAAATTCATGTATTTTTCTCAAACTTAAGGACTTTTATGTAATTTTCCTATAATTTTATCCTAAAATAACATGGTTTTAAGGACTTTTATGTTATTTTCCTATAATTTTATCCTAAAATACATGGTTTTAGTTTCTGTTTTTTTAAACAAATTGAAATCTAAGTTCATGTTTACTTTAGAACAACACCAAGAAAAAATTATAAGTTGGTTTAAATCAGTTTGATTTTGGTCCAACCATTTGGGTTCATAAATCGTGGATTCTGGTTTACATCTAAAGCTGCAAACCAGTAGTACTCAACAATGTCACGCTAAACTCAAAACGACCTCAAGAGTCAATAGCTTTGATGAGACTACTTCATATAGCTAGGCTCAAATGGAACAAAATATATAAAAAAAAGGTTATGATGTAGTCTATAACCAAAAGTAGTACACCACAAGTCCACAAGTGTTCGAACAAGAGAACCGACACCTCGTACATACTCCCAAAAGCATTTCCACTTGCTATATTACAGAGGCAAAAACTCGTACGTGTTGCTCGAAAGCTATTAGCTTCACCACCTATTACAACCACCTCTCCACGTGCGCACCCACATTCACCATAAATAGCCACCACCATACAATCATCGATTCACTCAACCATCCCTCAATGGCAAAGCTTATAGCACTCGCACTCGCCTTCGTAGCCTTTGTAGCATTTGCTTCCGCCCATAGCACCATCATCACCACCACAATCGAGGAGGAAAACCCAATCTCGAGGAAGCAGTGTAGCCGACAGATCCAGGGAGAAAGATTCAATCAGTGTGAGAGGTATCTCAAGCAGGGTCAGAGTTGGTATGAACAAATCATCCCGGGTCAGATGCAGGGCGGGCTCAAGTCGTGCTGCCAAGAGCTTCAATACGTCGACGAGCAGTGCCAGTGTGAGGCTGTGAAGGAAGCCTTCCGACAAGCCCAGAAGATGCAACAACAGCAGGGACAGCAAGGTGAAAGCTTCGGTTCCCAGCAGATCAGAGAGATGAAGCAGAAGGCCGAAAACCTCCCTAACCAATGCAAACTCCAAACACGACAATGCCAAGTCGGAACCATCTCCATCATCACCACCACCACCTTCACTGAGGAGAACCCGCAGATGTGCCAGAACATCCGAGGACGACGATTCAACCAGTGCCAGAGTTACATCCAAAAACAAATTAGCGGTGGAACACTTTTGATGAGCATCAACAGGAAAGGCCAACAGACCCAAGGCGTTGAACAATGCTGCACTGAACTTCAAAATGTTGAGGAAGATTGCCAGTGCGAGGCCATGCAGGAGGTTTACAGGCAAGCCCAGCAGATGCAGAGACAACAAGGTGGCCGCCAAACACAAGACTTGCAACGGATGGTTGAAAATCTACGCAATCAATGCAAATTACAAGTCCAACAATGCCGAATCCCATCTGCAATGTTCTAAGTTAGAGGCTAATGATCGAGTAATAAATCTTAATATTCGCATCTCTATCGAGGTTTCTCGCTTTGAGATGGGAGTACTAGTTTCCTAAGTAATAAAGCAAATGGGGACATATGTACATTGGCTTTCATCTTATCTATCAATAAAATGATTGCTTGAGTTTTTAATCTTCTAATTAATGGCATCGAATTATACTGGTTTATAACATAGTACGCGCGTATTCAAACATGTTATAATTTAGGGTCTTTTTATAAAAAGAAAGTAAGCAAATGCTATAATTTGGGTGGAAGAGTTTGAGCTGAAATTCTAATCTATTTCTGTAAAATCTTGTTAATGTTTTGATGTATATATATGGTAATTAAATGATAAATTTGCCCTAATTTCACTTTTTAAATGTTTGTTTATTTCATTGAAATAAATTAAAAATAGTTATAAAAATAATCAAGTTATATCTACTTGTTACTTGATTGTTTACCAAATCTTCTTAAATTTATTTCAAATTATAATTAAATTATTAAATTATAGTTACAGCTGTTAAACATATAATCAATCAATCAGATTTTGAACCCTTGAGAAAAAATTGACATGATTAATGAATTGCTTGAAAAATATGAGTTGGTGTTTGATTTTTCTTAAATTTATTTCAAATTATAATTAAATTATTAAATTATAGTTAAAGCACTTACACATATAATCAATCAAATTTTGAACCATTAAGAAAAAATTGACGTGATTAATGAATTGCTTGAAAAATATGAGTTGGTGTTTGATTTGGGGATAATGGCTATCCCAGATGTTCTAGGTAAGTAATTCGCGTGGTGCCGAACAAGGATCAAACATTGTTTATCAAATGAATTCCCTCAAAGAAAAAAAAAATTGCAAGCGTTGAATGTGACTTGAGAATTGAAGCCCATCAGCTGCCTGATAGCCAACTTGACAGCCAATTGGTTGGCGATCCGTCGGCTAGCTGACGAACCACCAACTAGCTAGTTGATCAATTGCTAATCCACACCCGATCTGTAGCATACATTTTAAATCAATCTCATGAACTCAATAGCAAATCCACGTTCAACCAATATAATGCAACTAAATATAAGATAGATCAAAGCAAACATGCCCTTGAAGCCTTTGATTAGTTCCATGCTAGTTCTTTATATAGAGAGCATGTGAAGAGCCCAAACAAGAAGTCCTATTTCATAGTCGTACCCAAAAAGCAAATCAGCAACCTTGACAACCACCATGAACCTTAGAGCACTGAAATCTAAACCATTAGGGTTTTAGCAAAGCATCGAAGCTGACGCGCAGCGTAGAAGAACCGCATGCACCACATGATAGAGGTAAAAGTGGTTTTTCGAGAGTGGGGAAAGGGCGACCTATTTTAGGGATAGAATCAGTACAAATATTTTCCTAAGACTCCTCTATTTATAAGGGCACGTTTTGAACCCTTATGGGATAAGTACTTGGTCACTTAGTAAGTTTGGTAATTATCGTAAAGATCTGGCTTTCAGATCTTTACACTTAAACCTCTCTTAAGTCCACACTTTTCTTATGAAATAATTAAAACCTTAATTAATTTACAAACTAATAAAACTTGTATATCATTTGCTACTAAAAATTGTCATCGCGTGTAACCCAAAAAGACATTACTGTTGAGAGAAAAACTTGAGACACACTTGAACAAATGTTAGAACAAGTATAGTTGCGGAATAGTTTATCTCAAAGGATCTAAAAGCTCAACAATAATAATAAGTTAATGAGTTAGATAATTAGAGAATTAGTTGCGGAAATGTAAGGAAATATAAATGACAGCAGGTGTTATATCAAGTATACACATAAGTTGATTCTTAACAAGGAATGCATTCAGACCAAGTTAGTAAGTGAGATCAAACTTAGTGATTAAGTCACGAATGACTTGCTCCGAAGAGAGATAATATGCAGTTATATTCAAGTGAACTTTGAGAGTAAGAAGGAGAGAGTAATAGCACAAGATATGAGATTCAAGATACGTAATCAGATAGATGTAGAGATGTGTATCTGAATAAAAAAAGATTGAGCTCTATATATAGAGACTCAAATATTACATTGGATCAACTATCTATGTGTAGCCATGTAAGGCATACTGGACAATAGAGAGTATTCTAACAAAAGTAGATAAAGAGTTAAACTAAGTAAACTAGAAAGTGAACTGCGGTTGATGATGACTTCGGATGAGGTTGCTGAAAAGAGTTGATTGCAGATCTTTGATGACTACGGTAGACCAAGTTCAAGAGGGTCACTTTTATGATTCAACAATTTCCCCCTAAGTGACCTCTTTAACTTCTCTTCAGTTATCAAGTTTTAGGAACTTGATGAGAATCCACCAAAACTTTCTGACATTCTCCAACCTGGTGATCCTCCTTAAAATTTCGAACTTGACTTCGGCAGTTGTGTGTTTTGACTTTTGAACGGCGGTTCGACAAATTTCAATTTGATTCCTTGTGAGACGATTCATGTTAGCCATAGCAATGAAATATTTGTTTTCATTGAGCTTTCGCTTAAAAATGACTCCAAGATCAGGGAAGTTTGTTGCACCCAGAGATCTTTCTTGATAACCTTCAGTAAGCATCGGTGCAGGATCAAGTGGTGGTAGATCGAACTTTTTGGCAAGGACAGGGTGAATATTTGCATCAATCTTTGCGAAGTCACAGACAGTTTCCCATAGGAATGCGCTTGCCCTTTCAAATGCTATCTTCATCTTAGGATACTTTTCAGATTTGTTTTGGAACACCTTAGCTATCAGGAAGACTTCTTGTGGATTCATGCATGGGAAGTCAGCTTGGGTGCGGACGTAGTCCTGATTCCTTCTTGTAAGAGTATACTGGATAAAGTCAGCTTTCATGAATTTCCGGGGCTTAAAGTTCTTGACTGCGGATGGTCTATCATTAGACCAGATTTTTCTATTGAAGAAGCATGTTTAGCATAGAATCGATTGAGTATTCAAATTCCATGGGCAGTCTCTTGTGATCAGGTAGGCTGCGGTCAAACTGCTCAAATACAGTGAAGTATTTAACATTGGGGGAGATTGGAACATCCCAGTAACCGTCAGAAGGGGGTTCAACAAAAGTAAGATAGGGTTTATAGTCATCATCCAACAGTCTTCGGTGGAAGATTGATCCAAGAATTGACTAAGGATTCATCTAGGGTGATGTCGAATCCGTTTTGTTTCCAGATAAGTTCAGCAAATTTGGTTGCTTTCCAATCTGCTTTCTTCTGTTTCATTGTGGGAGAGTCATTGGAATGTTCGGATGACATGTTGGATGCTAGATTCTTGAAGTGGGGAGGAGTCTCCTGTCGCTCAGGAGAGGGAGTAGTTTCTTGAATGATTTTCTGTTGTGGTGGAGACTGATGTTGCGGTGGTGTCTGATGGCTTGGATTCTTGTGAGGAGATGGTTGTGGAGAGGGAACTTTTTCATTTATGACAGGGGGGCTCCTATGTTGAGAGATGTTGTTTGAATGATGGTCTTCATCACTTCCCCCTCTTGAGGAATGCAAAACCGGAGCATCCTCAAGCCATTGCTTAAGACCATCGACTTTAGCACACACCTCCTGGAATTGAGCTTTGAGAGCATCAGCCAGTTGTTGATTGTCTGGGATGGCGGTGTTGAAGAGCAGTCGATGAATCTCTTTGGTAAGTTGAAGAATCTCAGGACCATGAAAGTTGGAAGACAGAGACCGTTGAAGTCTGTTGATGGTAGATTGTAGAACCGAGATGGTGGACTCATAGGCAGTATGAGTTTCAGCTATCAGCTTCTGTGAATGAGTTGACTGGTCCGCAATGGCTGTTTGTAGATCTGCCTTGATTACGGATACCTCAGAGATGAGGCGCTCCGCAGTAGCCATAAACTGCTTATGATCAGTCTGACGACTTGTATCTAGGGATCGAATTCCCATTTCAACTGTTAAAGAAATTCGCTCAGCAGCTAGGCGTTCACGAGTTTCAAGTCGTTCGATTCTTTCAATAAGTGATTGCGGTCCTGGTAAGTCTTAAGATTGCGGTTGAGTGGGCTTAACCGCAGCAAGAATCTGATCTACTTTGGCTTATAGACTCAGAAATTCTTTTCTGGACACATCAACTTCTTTTTCTTCTTTTTCTCTTTCGGCTTGGAGGTTGAGTGTTGAGAGCCACTCGAAGCTTCTTCCTCATCAAAAATCATTAAATCGTCATCAGAAGGGGTAGGCTGATTTACCTCATTGAGATCAAAGTCATCGAATCCGAATGTAGGAGCGGAGCTAACTTCTATTGCGGTGCCATCATCTTGAGAATCTCTAACAGTTGGAGTTGGAGGGAGTTTTGATGTACCTTCACCACCAAGAGTGGACTGAGCATTGCGGACTGTTTCAGCCATTGTGGACATCTACTCTTGTACTCTCAGAATGGTAGCTACTGTATTGGCGTTATTGATGGCGTCTACCCAATACTTGGCTACGGATTGAATCTCTTGCTGCTTCTGTTGAAGTTGCTTGATTTGCTGGTCCTTTCTTGCTTGAAATGCCCTACGTAAAGCGGCATATTTCTTGATATCGGATTCTGAGACCGGATTGTAGTTTAACCATGAATCATTTGATTCGTCACCATCAAATCCTTGAAAACGCACCGAGGTGTCCCTCGGGTCCACGGATCCTTGCACAATGGTGCTCACCGTGCCTAAACCACCTGGAAAGGATGTAAGCAGATTAGGATTTCCTGAGCTTCCTCGGTCTCCTTGACCCGTGGTCAAGTCTGGCCTCGGCTCAGTTCTGGCAAGGGCGGAAGAATTACGCTGCGGTTGGGAAGGTGTTTGAAGTGTTTGGGTTACAGACAAAAGGATGGAGTTCAACTCCTCGGGTGAAAAGAAATGTAGACAGGAAGCCCTGGAGACCTTAGGGCGAGAACCAGTTCCATCCCCTTGGGAGTGAGCTGGGGTGAGTCTCCACGTTCAGTTGAAACAGACACACTTTCTGTGTCTGAGTGGAATTCGATGGTT